TAACCACCAAACATAAGAAGAATACCATGATATAAATCAGCTGTGTAACCACCAAACATAAGGAGAATACCATGATATAAATCAGCTGTGTAACCACCAAACATAAGGAGAATACCATGATATAAATCAGCTGTGTAACCACCAAACATAACAATACCATGATATAAATCAGCTGTGTAACCACCAAACATAAGAAGAATACCATGATATAAATCAGCTGTGTAACCACCAAACATAACAATACCATGATATAAATCAGCTGTGTAACCACCAAACATAAGAAGAATACCATGATATAAATCAGCTGTGTAATCACCAAACATAAGAAGAATACCATGATATAAATCAGCTGTGTAACCACCAAACATAAGAAGAATACCATGATATAAATCAGCTGTGTAACCACCAAACATAACAATACCATGATATAAATCAGCTGTGTAACCACCAAACATAAGAAGAATACCATGATATAAATCAGCTGTGTAATCACCAAACATAAGAAGAATACCATGATATAAATCAGCTGTGTAACCACCAAACATAAGAAGAATACCATGATATAAATCAGCTGTGTAACCACCAAACATAAGGAGAATACCATGATATAAATCAGCTAATGTGTAATCACCAAACATAACAATACCATGATATAAATCATCTAATGTGTAACCACCAAACATAAGAAGAATACCATGATATAAATCAGCTGTGTAACCACCAAACATAAGGAGAATACCATGATATAAATCAGCTGTGTAACCACCAAACATAACAATACCATGATATAAATCAGCTGTGTAACCACCAAACATAAGAAGAATACCATGATATAAATCAGCTGTGTAACCACCAAACATAAGGAGAATACCATGATATAAATCAGCTGTGTAACCACCAAACATAAGGAGAATACCATGATATAAATCAGCTGTGTAACCACCAAACATAAGGAGAATACCATGATATAAATCAGCTGTGTAATCACCAAACATAAGGAGAATACCATGATATAAATCAGCTGTGTAACCACCAAACATAAGGAGAATACCATGATATAAATCAGCTGTGTAACCACCAAACATAAGGAGAATACCATGATATAAATCAGCTGTGTAATCACCAAACATAAGGAGAATACCATGATATAAATCAGCTGTGTAACCACCAAACATAAGAAGAATACCATGATATAAATCAGCTGTGTAACCACCAAACATAAGGAGAATACCATGATATAAATCAGCTGTGTAATCACCAAACATAAGGAGAATACCATGATATAAATCAGCTGTGTAACCACCAAACATATGATATAAATCAGCTAATGAGTAATCACAGAATTGACATTACGTTCCATTAAATTTGTTAAATGATAATTATGAATTTAATGTTTGCATTTGTTATTGTGAAGATTCAACAACCAACAAAAAAAGAGAGATTTATGACAGAAATATAATTCCTGAACAAGCAGTAGAATATTACTAGCAAAAAATTACAAAGCAAATTTAACATATTGCTATATTAATGGTGATGTAAAAAGATTGCATAAGTTAAGAAGTTCTTGTTACTTATAAACAATTCTATTTGATATGAATAACAGAATGGAATGTCTATAGAATAGATTTGTATTATTTATGTTCATATGTATTGTGTCAGGTCTACAATCTCTTGAAATGAATTACATCTCACAATTTTAAACTTACAAAATGGTTCAATAAATAAATATCTTTAAAACTTTCATACAAAAGTGCTAACTTTATAACAAACATGGTCATGCAGTTTCTAGAAATAATGGTCAAGATCTAAGTGTGTAAATACATCATGTAAAGTGCATATAATAAATTATAAGTTCTATCACATTAAAAGATTATCTGTGTCCTATTTGAAATTATGAGTGAGTAATCACTCATAATCCACATTTCTAACAGTACAGCAATAAATGACAATGTATTCATGCATTTTCCAATACATCTCCAATATCACAATACTTATGTTATTATGTCACAGTAAAAGTTGATTATTCAATGTCATCATTTCCACAGATTGACCACAGGTTAACAGGTGTAACTCATACATAAAAAATAATTCAAAATTGGTCTGTTACAGCTAACTGTTGTTTTCTACTGCCAACAATCAATGAAGCTAGTATTCAAAAATAATGATCCCTTTTGAACGAGAAAGGGCCTTCGTAAACTTGATAAAATTAAACTTTGAGATATAAATATAACTATATTTAATCTAGTTCTATGAAAAAATTAATTAAGAGATAAAAGATAACATTTATCACTATTAATCTGATGAGACAATGTTGTTGATTGGTATACTAAATATGTATGAATAAATAATACCCACAAGATAATCTCTTAGGTTAAAATTTAAAATTATTATATCAAACAGAAATCCCTATGATTACGTTGTTATCTTCATGAGATTTTTATGACAGATACCTGCCTATAACTACCACATTATTCATATAACTACAGTGAAACCTGTTACTAAACCCTGGATAAAAAAAACCTGAGTAGACAACTTTTATTTCAGGATTTTTGTTTATCTATATAAACAGAACAACTGCCTAGTCCAGACAAAATGTTTGGTCCTGAAGAGGTTCAGTCTAAACAGGTTTCCATATACAACTATCTCTAATACAAATAATATATTGACTAGTATAATATAGAAAATACCCCTTTGCTACAATAACACATTTTCAATTAAGTTATTAAGAGTTAATAAATAGATGATAAAATATAGCATATAAATATCATTTTAAAAATTAGAAACTCCATCATCACTTTACCATTTCAAAATCTAAAGAACTTAAGAAGCATGTCAGGTTACAAGCTTTATCACTAAGAACAATTAAAATCAATTTTAATAATTTGATGTATGCTTTTGAATAAAATATTTAAAATGCATCAAATTCTGAAACACCAAATTATTGTCATTCAATATGAAAAGTTATTCCCTGCTTTAATAATCTATTGACGATTAAATCTAATTACAATAGGACATTGCTTTACTATTTGTGTTTCATTATTTTGCAATGACTTTTAGACAATAGCAAGAACAGCAATGTTCATGGTTCCTTTATTTATTAAATTTCTGGTTTTCAGTTTAACATAATAATACATGATCTTTGGAAAATTTTGTTATACTTCTCTGTGGTATTACCATCACAACTCTATACACAAAACCAACAGATGCGCACCTCTTCTTACATTACAACTCATGCCACCCAAAACACCAAAAAGAAAGTATTCCATTCAGTCAAGCACTGAGAATAAGACGAATTTGTACAGAAATCAATGATTTCGAATTTCACACAAACCGTCTGAAAGAACATCTCCTGACTCGGGGTTATCCCCGACAGGTTGTCGATTCTGCAATTTCAAAAGCAAAGTCGTTAAATCGAAATGATTTGTTAAAACCAAAGGAAACTGACCAACCCGTGAAGCCAGATATGATTCCATTAGTAATCAACTACCATCCAAAAATAAAAAATCTTAACGGAACCATCAACCAGAGGAAAGATATCCTCAAAAGAACTCCTGAAACTCAAACCCTCGCGAAACAAAAACTCATTGTTTCATATAGACGAGCCTTATCAATCAAACAAATACTAGTAAAAACCGAAATTGTACGCAAACAAACCCGTAAGGGTAGCCACCCTTGCGGAAAGAATTGCTATCTCTGTAGATTAATGAAAACCGCAGAAAGTGCAAAAAGTACCGTAAACAGTTACCAAATAGATATTAAACACGAAATTACATGCAACACAGAAAGTGTGGTGTATTTAATAGAATGCAAACAATGCAAAAAACAATACATTGGTCAAACGGGAAATAGCCTAAAAGAAAGATTCAGGGGACATCTACAGGACATCAACACTGAGAATAATACAAAACCAGTCTCGAAACACTTCACCTCAAATGGTCACAATAAACACGACGTCACCATAACAGGCATAACAACCACAGAACAAAACATAAACGTCAGACTAAGAACGGAAGAAGCTCTTATACATAAATTTGGAAGCACCGAACCCTGGGGCCTTAACAGACGATATGGCTAATACGAAGATTACCAAAAGAAAAGAAACTACAGGAACTTTCACAAGACGATTTAATTGCAAAAAATGCCCGAAAACTTTCTGCAGTATTTCTACTTTACGAAGACACCATAAGGAACGCCACGAACCAGTCGCAACAATGTTTGAATGCAAACATTGTGTTGCAACCTTCACTAGAAAATCAAATGCCGTAACACACCTTAAATCAAAACACCCAGATAAAGCCAGAGAAGATTATAATAGCTTCCAACAAAATCCTCGTGAAATGGCCAAAGCAATAGAAAAATGGAGACCACCATTTGAAGCCGTACAGAAAAAAGAATGGAACGGGAAAACACCTACATTCAGGACAATACCAGCTAAATCACCGTATGAGTATCACCAATCATCCACCTCAAAACCGAAAAAACCCTCAACAAGTGATTTGGAACAAGACCTGTACCTGTCGGATTCCGACTCTTCTTTAAATAACACTCCGCAATACATAACAAACGATTACGGTTATGTCATGGACCTTACTCAGGAAGACTACATAGACCTGACAACAAGCAGCAGTGATGAAACCATATGTTTAGATGAGCTACCGGAAGAACTATGGGACAGACATGTGTTTGTACATTCTATTTATAACATTTTTAGCTGAGACAATAATAACACAGAGTTGATATACAAACAATTTTAATTTACTTTCATTTTCATGTTGACAATCTATTTATATACATTTTCTATTTATACTTTCACTATTACTTCCCTTTCATAACAACTACTATACTATGACGTTGTCACAAGACAACCCGATTGTACACTTAAGTATGTTCAATGTATTATTTGTGTCCTGATGACGGTGCCCTAGGCACCGAAACATGTCGATCAATAAATTTTCTGCAGCAGTCCCTCCAGTGTTGTTGTTATAAGACTTTCTACATCATAATATTTGTTATATGTGATTAAAAACTTGTAATTTGTGAATGTTTTATATTTCTTAATCATATTCAATACCATTTATTCCAATCATTTTCATTCATTAAAGTATTTGGTTTTTTACAAGATAATATTACGTTATTTGCACCTTCTTTGGGCATAGAATCATTGTCAGTACATTGATGAAAGGAATGAGTATCTTTTTATTTCCATATCACGACTTAGATAAATGATCAAATTAATATATTTCTGTAGGTATAGGGTTGAAGATTTACATAAGATTATAGATGTCAAATGGGCACAATATCTATGTCATTTCAAGTGGGAACAATATCCATGTCATTTCAAATGGGCACAATATCCATGTCATTTTAAGCATGCAGGGATCCAATTTACCCATAAATCATTGAAATGATGTTAGAAATCAGTGTATAGTAAAAAAGTTTTTCTTGAAATGGAAATGATGTGAATAAAACGTATTAACTATTTAAAGTACTGTGTGAAATACTAATCCTAGTAACTATTTAAAGTACTGTGTGAAATACTAATCCTAGTAAAATAGAATATAATCATAAGTGCATAAATTATTTCTAAATCTTTTTTTCATTGCATCCTTTAACTACACTCTTTCATTACACAACCCTAGAGAGATTTCATTTAAACTTAAAACTGACATGGTATCTAAACATCATCAAATATTCCTTTTGGTGGCCGAGGTCTAGATGTTCCACTAGATGATCCGTATCTACTGGATGTAGTACCGGGTCTACTAGATTGATACCCTTGTGATATTCGGTTAGTATTAAAGTCATCTACTTCTAACTCAGCTGTATAGTCCAAAGGTTCTGCTTCACGTAGAAGTCCAGTTTTATCATTCTCGTCTGGACTTCTAGCAACTGACTGTTTGGCTGAAAAAAAAACACCCCATTATTCATCATTTTTTATCGAACAGTTGAATCTCTTTATCAAAAATTTCCAAAAAGAACTTACAGATAGTGAACTGGAGAAGGTAAGTAGCAATCTTTGAATATTCAATGGGACATAACTGGTAAATAATATAACAGCTAAAATAAATTTCCTTTCAAAAATCTTATTCTTATTTTTGATGTTGAGACAAAGCATAAGAGCTGCTGATTAAGCTTAACCCTCAATTTATTTAACTGATTGATTGATGTTTGTTTAACATTAATGTACAAATAAACCCACCTCTATTCATTTGGAAGTCTCCAGCAGTTTCTACCTCTTTTCTGGCTGATGCATTTCTAGAACTGCTTGACCAGTCAACACCAAACTTTTCACTCCATTCCCTTTTTCTTTCATCACTATTTGCCTTTCTCTCTAATTTTCTTTTTTCTGATATCAAAGAAAAAGTTTCAGGTGAAATGTTTCCATTAACTTTCTTCAACAAGTTTCAAATTTGTTGTAACTAGATATCATTGAGATGGGAGCCATCTCTGTGGGCCCCGCTGTGAATAATGTGTAGTAAAAAATTTGTATCTTTATCATTGGACATGGGGTTGTCAACTGAAACCGAAGTTTATGACCTTGACCTTTGACCTAGGAAGTTGTACATAAATTATGACACACCTTCTGGTGTTGGTTTATATACATGTCAAGAATAAACTTTGAAATCATAACGGTTCTCAAGATATAGAGCGGACACGATATTTACCATAGGACATGGGGTTGTCAACTAAAACCAAAGTATTTGACCTTGACCTTTGACCTAGGAAGTTGTACATACATTATGACACACCCTCTGGTGTTGGTTAATATACATGTCAAGTATAAACTTTGAAATCATAACGGTTCTCTAGATATAGAGTGGACACAATTTGTTACGGACGGAAGGACGGACGGACGGACGGACAGACAGACTGATCACTATAGGGCGTCTGCCATTCGGTGGGGCCCTAATAATTTAAACAATGTCTTGTATCAAACTGTAAGAAATACATTTAGTTACAGGGTAAGGCGACATGATGATGATGTACTTTGATCTTGCTTTCAGAAACTGTAAGTGGCATTATTTAGTATTAATTTACAAGTCACATCTGTAATTTTGTCAACTGTATAACCTGTATGACAGTAAAGTACATTTTTTTAAATGATTCTGATTTTACTTTCTTCTCTGTACAATTGATTATTCCAAAGATCAAGATAAAAAGGGGATGGGTTGAGTACCCACTAAAATCTAGTTTAACCCCATCATATGTAATTGTGCCTTTCCTAAATCAGGAACCTTGTCATTGGTTTTCTTTGATTATAAGTGTTTATTGTAGTTTACTCTATTTGGTGTTAAGGGCAGAACTTTCATAGTTTCAGTTAAGTTTGTGTTATAGGAACTGAATTTCTGTCTGATTGGTGTAAATGATAATTTTTCCACCCTCATAATATTTCAATAATTTTATAAAAACCAAGTGTTTAACTTACCTCTACTAATAATGTTCTTTCCCTCATCTATAAACTCCTGTGTCATATCATCATCTCCTATAAACTGTTGGAATCCCAGGAAATGTAGGATTCTACTTCCTAGACTGAAGTAAGTACATATACACAGCAGTACTATCATGATTGGGAAGTAGATGTTAAATCCATCAGATACAATAGATATCACATCCATATGTCCCATTATCTGTAAATATAGAAATGTGTGTACAATACAAATGGACAGATGTTAAATCCATCCGATACAATAGATATCACATCCCATGTGTCCCATTATCTGTAAATATAGAAATGTGTGTACAGTACAAATGGACAGATGTTAAATCCATCATATACAATAGATATCACATCCCATGTGTCCCATTATCTGTAAATATAGAAATGTGTGTACAGTACAAATGGACAGATGTTAAATCCATCCGATACAATAGATATCACATCCCATGTGTCCCATTATCTGTAAATATAGAAATGTGTGTACAGTACGAATGGACAGATGTTAAATCTATCAGATATGATAGATATCACATCCATGTGCCCCATTATCTGTAAATATAGAAATGTGTGTACAGTATGAATGGACAGATGTTAAATACATCGGATACAATAGATATCACATCCATGTGTCCCATTATCTGTAAATACAGAAATAAGTGTCCATATGCACATAATACCATAATGATTGGGAAGTACCTGCAGAAGTTAAATCCATGTAATATAATAGATATCACATCCATATGTCCCAATATCCTCAAATATTAAAATTTGTAAAAAATACAGTAATGAAATATTACTTTTCACCACTGATATCCTCTTACTTTATATTTCTCATTCAATTCTTATAAAGTTCCCACCATTAAATAAAATTAATTAAATTCTTTGAACTTTTTTTTAATATTTGCACAATATTTGAAATGATTTCACTATATAACAATAATACCTGAGTGTACGAGGTTTCTTGCAAGCGTTCATCGTATGTTATATGACTATCCAGATGAATAAGTCCGAGAAAGTTCAAACAAAGTGGTGGTGTTAGTCTACAAAGCATCCTGTAAGAATACATGTATAAAACATATTCCATCACAAAGTGGTGATGTTAGTCTACAAAGCATCCTGTAATAAAATGCTCCGCAGGGCGCAGCTTGATACGACCGCAGAGGTCGAACCCTGAACAGTTGGGGCAAGTATGGACACAACATTCAAGCTTGATACAGCTCTGAATTTGGATTGTGATTAAATATTTGACACAGCATAGGTTTCTGACACAGAATGAATGTGGTCTAAGAACTTAAAAATTTTAAATTGGACATTCACCTATTATGGTCCAATATCCAAAATCTAAATACATGGTTAGATTCAGCATATCAAAGAACCCCAAGAATTCAAAAATCTAAATACATGGTTAGATTCAGCATATCAAAGAACCCCATATATTCAATTTTTGTTGAAATCAAACAAAGTTTAATTTTGGACCCCGATTTGGACCAACTTGAAAACTGGGCCCATAATCAAAAATCTAAATACATGTTTAGATTCAGCATATCAAAGAACCCTAAAAATTCAATTTTTGTTAAAATCAAACTTAGTTTAATTTTGGACCCTTTGGACCTTTATGTAGACCAATTTGAAAACGGAACCAAAAATTAAGAATCTAAATACACGGTTAGATTCGGCATATCAAAGAACCCCAATAATTCAATTTTTGATGAAATCAAACAAAGTTAAATTTTGGACCCTTTGGACTTCAATGTGGACCAATTTAAAAAGGGGGCCCAAAATCCAAAAACTTAATACACGGTTAGATTCAGCATATTACAGAACCCCATATATTCAATTTTTGTTGAAATCAAACAAAGTTTAATTTTGGACCCCGATTTGGACCAACTTGAAAACTGGGCCCATAATCAAAAATCTAAATACATGGTTAGATTCAGCATATCAAAGAACCCCATATATTCAATTTTTGTTGAAATCAAACAAAGTTTAATTTTGGACCCCGATTTGGACCAACTTGAAAACTGGGCCCATAATCAAAAATCTAATTACATGGTTAGATTCAGCATATCAAAGAACCCCATATATTCAATTTTTGATGAAATCAAACAAAGTTTAATTTTGGACCCTTTTGATCTCAATGTGGACAAAGTTGATAACGGGGCCCAACAATCAAAAATCTAAATACATGGTTAGATTCAGCATATCAAAGAACCCCATATATTCAATTTTTGTTGAAATCAAACAAAGTTTAATTTTGGACCCCGATTTGGACCAACTTGAAAACTGGGCCCATAATCAAAAATCTAAATACATGGTTAGATTCAGCATATCAAAGAACCCCATATATTCAATTTTTGTTGAAATCAAACAAAGTTTAATTTTGGACCCCAATTTGGACCAACTTGAAAACTGGGCCCATAATCAAAAATCTAAATACATGGTTAGATTCAGCATATCAAAGAACCCCATATATTCAATTTTTGTTGAAATCAAACTAAGTTTAATTTTGGACCCTTTGGACCTTTATGTAGACCAATTTGAAAACAGAACCAAAAATTAAGAATCTAAATACATGGTTAGATTCGGCATATCAAAGAACCCCAATCATTCAATTTTTGATGAAATCAAACAAAGTTAAATTTTGGACCCTTTGGACCTCAATGTGGACCAATTTAAAAACGGGGCCCAAAATCCAAAAACTTAATACACGGTTAGATTCAGCATATTAAAGAACCCCAAGAATTCAAGAATAAATCCCCATTGAAATTGATCAAGAAATAAGCAATTTATACGAAGTATCTTCTTTTGCACAATACTGTGCAATTGATTATTTCTTGCTATTGTGCAATACTGTACAATTGACAATTTCTTGCTATTGCGCAATATTGTGCTATTGGATATTTCTTGCTATTGCGCAATACTGTGCAATTGAAGATTTCTTGCTATTGCGCAATACTGTGCAATTGAAGATTTCTTGCTATTGTGCAATACTGTGCAATTGAAAATTTCTTGCTATTGCACAATACTTATTATATAATAATTTACACATCCTGTTTGGTGTGTATCTCCTACCATATCATTATTATTTGCTTTTAAATATAAATCAGAAATAACCAACTTAAAATGGAAAATTTTAAAAGAAAAAAAAAAGGAAAAAAAGAAAAAAAAGAAAAAAAAAAAAAAAAAAAAATCCCCCCCCCCAAATTTTTTGAACCCCCTTATGATTCATCACCCCCAAACTCAATCTCAGCCTTCTCTTTGTGGTATGGTACCTTGCAGTACAATTTCAGAGAGATCCATACACTTGAACACAAGTTATTGTCTGGAAACTAGAAAAATGCTTATTTTTGGCCCCTTTTTGGCCCCCAATTCCTAAACGTTTCGGGCAATTACCCCCAAACTCAATTCCAGCTTTCCCTTTGTGATATGGAACCTTGTAGTACAATTTCAGAAATATCCAAACACTTACACACAAGTTATTGTCATGAAACTAGAAAAATGCTTGTTTTTTGCCCCTTTTTTGGCCCCTAATTCCTAACATTTTGAGGCAATTACCCCCAAAATCAATTACAGCCTTCCCTTTGTGATATGGAACCTTGTGGTACAATGTCAGAGAGATCCATACACTTACACACAAGTTATTGTCTGGAAGTTACAAAAATGCTTATTGTTGGCCCCTTTTTGGCCCCTTATTCCTTAACTGTTGGTACCATAACCCCCAAAATCAATCCCAACCTTCCTTTCATGGTATTGAACCTTATGGTAAAATTTCATGGAGATCCATTCACTTAAACTAAAGTTAGAGTGCGAAAACCAATGTGTCTTCGGACGACGCCAGACGACGCCGGACGACGACGACGACGACGACGACGACGACGCCAACGTCATACCAATATACGACCAAAAAATTTTCAATTTTTGCGGTCGTATAAAAATACATGTATAAAACATATTCCTAAAGATACTCTATATGAGCTGAAATTCAATGTACCTTCCAGTTTTTTCAAATATATCACATTGTTTAGTTTTTCTTCCTACATATATTATTCTTTTATTTCTTTTGTTTAAGTTTAAACATATTTTATTGTTCAAAAATGACAAATGATTAGACACAAGTTTTTCAACTTAGTAACGTCTTCTCCAAAACGTCTTCTTTTGTTGTGTTTCGTGCTATAGCAGTACAAATGTCAATCATAGTGTGATCTATTTCTAATCCCTCAAAAAATTGACTCTAGGGTCATTTGTCCATATGGAAAATCGACTATCGAGTAAATTACCATTTAGAATACTGAGTCCTCGTTCTAAAAAATTGACCCCCATCCCCCTGTTACCAGTATGTCTAAAATTGCTGCATCTATACATGCTTTGTACTTTCAATTATATATATCTACAAAATTCTGGACCTCTTTTGAAAGTTTCTTTGTTCGAAAGTATAAACTTTATTTATACAAAAATCATTTACTTTATACACTTAGTTGACGCTGAATATGCAGGAAACATCTGAAAATAGCAACAAAATAAATAACAATCTCTTAATCTTATACAAATGGTAAGATATGTGACAAGAAACTCACATTCCAGTGAATACTAAACTGTACTCGTCTGCCTGGTGGTAGGATGCAGTGTAATGAAAGTTAAACTTACATTCCAGTGAATACTAAACTGTACTCGTCGCCTGGTGGTAGGATGCAGTGTAATAAAAGTTAAACTTACATTCCAGTGAATACTAAACTGTACTCATCTGTCTGATGGTGGGGTGCAATGTAATACAAGTTAAACTTACATTCCAGTGAATACTAAACTGTACTCGTCTGTCTGGTGGTTGGGTGCAAAGATATACAAGTTAAACTTACATTCCAGTGAACACTAAACTGTACATGTCTGTCTGGTGGTAGGGTGCAATTTAATAAAAGTTAAACTTACATTCCAGTAAATACTAAACTGTACTCATCTGTCTGGTGGTGGGGAGCAATGTAGTAAAAGTTAAGTATCTTGATCTGGAACACACTGTAGTAGGCACAGAAACACAAATAGGCTATTGTTATAATTGAAGCCAGCTGTAAAGAAATGTATTTATTATCATTTTGTAGAAAAATTTGTAAGGGGTTCCGTGGAACCTTGTGTCTTGCCTGCAATTGCTGCTGTAAGTGTATAAGTGTAAAGTTGACTTAAAAAGTGAGTCCATTTATCAGTAAATTACAGTATTTGAAAAAAAAATTCAAACTTTTTCTTTAGATGCTATTTCTTGGTCTTGAAAATCAACTTCTGTCCAAGTTTCATAACAATCCAAGAAGGTTTACAAATTTATCATGTAAAACAAATTTAATCCCAGACTGTCTGTAATGTTAACTGTAAAAATCTAAGTCCATCTATCAGAAAAATACTTAAAAAGGACAAAAATATTTTCAAGAGTTTGCTTGAGACATAGTATTAATCATAAAAAAGCTTGTGCCAAAGTTTCATAAACTTCTATGAAGGTTTGACAAAGTAATTGATGTGTAACAAACTCTAAAAAGAACTTTAACCACAGACTGAACCTAAATGTTGATGTCGCCAACGTTATCTAAGATTGCTATGTCTCCCTTTTGCAACCAAAAAAATAGAATATGTCATGACGAAGTATTGATTTTATTCAAGATCATTAACTATTAATAAAATTAGAATGCAATTAAGAACTATTTTTATATGAACTAATTTATTCTTCAATTTTTTAGGTTGAAAGAAAATGTTCATTTTTTTTAGTACATGTATTCCAAAAGTCTTTGTTTAACCCTGTCACATGTTCTGGTGTCTGTTCAAAGTTAAGCACCTCATTGGCTGATGGTTTTCTTTTTGTCATGTGGAGTATTTGGTATTGATCGTTGATCTTGTTACATTTTTATCTTTTTAGGGAGATTTAGAGCTTTGTGTCTTTTAGTTGCTGTCTCATTCATACATACCCCAAGTCTCATTCATACATACCCCAAGTCTCTTTTACTATAGAAATAATCAAACAATCCAAATCTTGTTATTCTATTGAGTGATATTATGAACCATATTCAGACTAGATGTCATTTCTGTATTGAATACAATCAATCTTGTAATTTTTTCTGTTCAATAAGTTATAACTAATCCATACATGATTCTGAAACTACTCCTAAAAGTATTACATGTATATAACATTTGACAAAATTCTATTATGCATGATCTGATTTTTTTTATAGGTTTACTGATACATCCATAACAGTTTCCATATAATGTTTAAAATATTAAGTTGAACTGAACAATCACCTATCATTTTGTAAGAAATCATTTATAAGACCATAAAGTGATAGCTAGTCACTAATTTCACATTTATACAGTATATATACTCACCTCAATGTAAACATAATCATAGTTGTGCTTGGCTACATTAAGGAACACAGCAAATAATGACAGAACTGGAGATTTAATGAAGAATAAGCATTCTGACCATACAACCATGAACGAGAAAATTGCTAAAATAACAGTAACAACTCGAAATGTCCACGGACGTGCCCAACATTTCCAATACCATTCTGAAATTATATAATATGTAAATACAGAAACTTAAAATATTCATGCAGGCAATAAACAATCTCAAATATTATAATATTAATACACAAACATTTTAGAAGTAAGCAATGAAACTAGGCAATGATAACCTCTCAAAGATCTGAGCATGATCAAATTTCTTTGCAACAATTTTTAAATGTTATAACGATAATATACTTATCTTTAAAAAAAATCTGTCCAGAAATGATTTTTTACATAAAGTTACTAAAAGCAACATATACTGTCATATGAAAATTAAAAAAATATTTTCCAATACATCTTTCCAACGAAAGTTGATACCTATAAAAAGTTACTACACCCCAGTACACTTGCAAGGATTCAAGTTTAGACTTAAAAATTAATTTACTAAAAGTTGTTAGAACTTAAACCCTTAATAAATTCTTCATAAAAACTTATTGTGATAATCAAAAGAAGTACTTTGTTTGTGATAAAGCAATAAATAAAACAATCTTACCAACAGTTGGTGTATAAATACTACGCCACCACCCTTTTTCCACCATAAATGACCTTTTGAACCTTCTCTCTGGACTATTTCTATTCATTTCCTCATCCTCTAAACTAAATGCCTTCTCCATTAAATTATTCCATTGAATCTGTGTACGTCTGTGTGTCTGGCTGGCCTGTATCACACGTTTGTGTAATTTAACCAGAGCCTTTTCACTAATGACATCTTGAACAGCATTGTAGTCTTCATAATCATCTACATTGGGTTTAACAGACTTTCTCAAAGATTCTGGACACTGAAATCAATAGGAATATAAAAATAAAAACAGTTTGTACATTGTCACAACAAATAACAACAGTATGTACATTGTCACAACAAATAACAACAGTATGTACATTGTAACAACAAATAACAGGAAGTACATTGTCACAACACATAACAACAGTATGGACATTGTGTCACAACAAATAACAACAGTCTGTACATTGTCACAACAAATAACAACAGTATGGACATTGTGTCACAACAAAAAAACAACAGTATGGACATTGTGTCACAACAAATAACAACCGTCTGTACATTGTCACAACAAATAACAACAGTATGGACATTGTGTCACAACAAAAAACAACAGTATGGACATTGTGTTGCAACAAATAACAACAGTATGGACATAGTGTCACAACAAAAAAACAGCAGTATGGACATTGTGTCACAACAAATAACAGTCTGTACATTGTCACAACAAAATAACAACAGTCTGTACATTGCCACAACAAATAACAACAGTACAGAGTTTTAAATCTAAACTCAAATTCAAGTTTAACTTTCATTCTATACTAAAGATGAATGGTTGGTTTTAATTGTGCAGAGGCATAAAGGCCTTAATTCAAATATCATAAGATCATAAAATAAAAAAAGAAAAGAATAACTTAGATAAGACTGTAAAATACCTTAGATAAGACTGTAAAATACTTTAGATAAGACTGTAAAATACCTTAGATAAGACTGTATCCACATGTTGTCTCAATGGATTATTGTAACGTACTTTGTCTGACACTTGCTTTATCTCCTGTAATAGAAGGGTGGCAAATTGGTAATATCATTACATGTATGATCAATTAGTACCTAATAAAGTCTCCATATATATTGTTTCAGTCAAAAAATAAATTGGAACAAAAAAAATGCAAGGTATTTGAGCATCTGCAAGTATTATTTTAGTATGCCCATGGCCAGTGAAAAATTGTCTTCACAAATGTATCGCAATTAAAAAAATATTGCCTGCAGCATACAGAAATAATCATTTGTAAACTTCATAAAATTGTGAAAAACTTACTTAAAAATAGTAGAAGGGAGAATATCTGTTTCAAGTTCAATTTTTCAGACATTTTCATAAACAATATTTAGGTAAGATAAAAATACTAACAGAAAAATCACAAAATGATATTTGAATTCTTTTAGCATTTCACTAACCTCAAGTACATCTTCAAGATTTTCTTCTGCTTCTGTTTTTTCTGTGCTGAGTTTAGAAATCTTAAACTGTGTTCTTCCCAACATATGTCCATGTTTACTACTATTCCAAACAGTTCGAGGAACTTCTACTAACCCATAACCAAGTAACAGGACAAGTAAGAATAATCCCCAGGTATTACTAGCTGTTATTCCGATCACTTTTAACTTCTCTCTGAAATACAAGTAAGAACAAACCCAAGGTATGACTAGCTGTTATTCCAATCACTTTTAACTTCTCTCTGAAATACAAGTAAGAACAAACCCAAGGTATAACTAGCTGTTATTCCAATCACTTTTAACTTCTCTCTGAAATACAAGTAAGAACAAGCCCTAGGTATGACTAGCTGTTATTCCAATCACTTTTAACTTCTCTCTGAAATACAAGTAAGAACAAACCCAAGGTATGACTAGCTGTTATTCCAAGTAAGAACAAACCCAAGGTATTACTAGCTGTTATTCCAATCACTTTTAACTTCTCTCTGAAATACAAGTAAGAACAAACCCAAGGTATGACTAGATGTTATTCCAATCACTTTTAACTTCTCTCTGAAATACAAGTAAGAACAAACCCAAGGTATGACTAGATGTTATTCCAATCACTTTTAACTTCTCTCTGAAATACAAGTAAGAACAAGCCCTAGGTATTACTTGCTGTTATTCCAATCACTTTTAACTTCTCTTTGAAATATTTTAATCAAAGTAAGTATATATGCTTCAATATGGTAGGTGATGTAAATCAACTATGTTTCTTAATATTCTTTTTAATCTAAATGTCTGATCATCGATTCATGCACAAAAATCTTATTTACTGCATTAATAAATTGCTGCTAAAACACATGAACTAGTGCTGACAGATACTCCAATAACAGCTACAAATAAATTGCTTCGCTGAGCGCAGCTGGATACGACCGCAGAGGTCCAACCCTGAACAGTTTGGACAAAAATGGACACAATATTCGCGTGATACAGGTCTGAATTTGGATTGTAATTAAATATTTGACACATAATAGGTTTCTGACACAGAATAACTGTAGTCAAAGAACTTAGAATTGGTTATATGATTTGAATTTATATTCAATTTTTTGCTTTTGTGCAATACACTATGCTGTTTCGAATTGACCCCCCCCCCACCCCAAAACAAAACAAGAAAAAATTAACCCCCCTTTTTTTTTGCTTTTGTGCAATACACTATGCTGTTGCGAATTGACCCCCCGTAAAAAAAATGTTTAACCCCCCCCTTTTTTTTTGAAGAAATTTTCTTTTTTAATTTCTGAAATCTGAAATGAGAAAAAAATGCCCCCCCCCCCTCACAATTTCTTTTTTACCCCCCCTCCTTTTTAAAAAAAAAAAAATGCTTTCCCTCAAGATATGGTCGTAATCTCAATTAAAATTTCCAATGGAGTTTGCAACCATAATTACCCATTTAAATACATCATAAAAGTCTTAAAATAGAAAATGACATACATAATCATGGCTAAGATTAATATTCCTTAATCAGCATTTTTTTCAAGACAATACAACATTTCTTTATACATAATTTAAAAGCAGTGTAAGGAAGGTATTCCAAACATAACATTGTACTTTTTTTTAATTGTCCATTAACCAGGAAACCCTTGTTTTTCCCCCTTTTTTTGGCCCTAATTCCTAAACTGTTTGAGCCATAACCCCCCAAAGCCAATCCTAACCATCCCTTTGTGGTATGGAAACTTGTGGTATAATTTCAGAGAGATCCATACACCGTTCCACAAGTTATTGTCTGGAAACTAGAAAAATGCTAATTTGGGCCCCTTTTTGGCCCCTAATTCCTAATCTGTTAGGACTATAACCCCCAAAATCAATCTCAACCTTCCTTTTGTGGTTATAAACCTTATGTTTAAATTTCATAGATTTCTATTTACATTTACTAAAGTTATTGTTCGGAAACCAAATGTCTTTGGACGACGCTGACGACGACGGCGACGTGATACCAATATACGAGCGCAAAATTTTTTGTGGTCGTATAAAAATGGGCACAGTTTTATGAACTCTTAAATAGGAAAATCCTAAAAAATCAAACTTGTGTTTTATTGTTCATGTCATTGAAGTATTCACAAATGTTTTTTACTTACTGGTCTGAAATACATTATTACAATATATTACTTTCTTGACATAGAATAAACAGAAATAATTGTATAAAAATCATGAGTCACCACAGCAATACATGTCCATTAATGTAGAGATGTTAATCCTGAGCAATAAATATCAAATCAGCAAATATAATACTGTAACATGGCACCATCTTATGGAAAGTTAAATTTTTTTTTTATGAGCATTAATGTCTTAAAGAGACTTGAGTTCTGACACAATATACTAAAAAGACTTCTTGATAATTTTAAGTAGAGAACAGTTAACTACAACATGTACAATGTATCTAGTTTTCCATTAGAAAGTCAAACTGTAAAACTTACGCATCAATATGAAGATCAGGTCTTGCTGCTACATAAATCAAACAAATTCCAAATATCAAAAGGTATGTTCCATAGTATATGGCATTTTCTATCAAAGCTGTCTTTATCTTTCCTGCTACACTGAAATCTCCAGCTGTGGAATAGGACTGCATCAGAGGTAAAAGTAACCTACGATAAAAACAAATCTTGGGTGAATAATATACTCAAATTAAATCATCTACAAATAAAAAGAGATATAAAATGAAATAGCAAGCTGACAACACAAATAGCCAAAAGACATCTAAACATCTATAGAAAAAAGCATATTGATTCAATTATATTTAAAGCTAATCTTATATCTTACATGTATTTCTTAATACCCTTATAAAAGTCATTAAAAGTTAAGTAGATGTGATTTTCTCTTCTCTTCAGTTGTCATCAAATAAGCATTTTCCAAAAAGCAATTGTTAACATTAACTTAAATTTCTTCAAAAAAGATTCAAACATAGTGATATGTAGAAGTTGTGTAAGGAAATTTTTATTTGTTTTTTTTTTTTAAACATTAAAAAAAACGTGAATGTTCTGTTTTTTTCTTTAACTAGACTGTATTACTGTTAACACATCTCACAAAGATGTTACTGACAGAAAACATCATCTATCTATCATGTGAGAAACTAAGATGACTAATCTATCTATCTTGTGAGAAACTGAGATGACCAATCTATCTATCTTGTGAGAAACTGAGAAGACCAATCTGTCTACCTTACCATGTGAGAAACTGAGATGACCAATCTGTCTATCTTACCATGTGAGAAACTGAGATGACCAATCTAACTATCTTACCATGTGAGAAACTGAGATGACCAATCTGTTCATCTTACCATGTGAGAAACTAAGATGACCGATCTATCTATCTTACTATAATGGGAAACTGAGATGACCAATCTATCTATCATACCATGTGAGAAATTGAGATGACCAATATGTCTATCATACCATGTGAGAAACTGAGATGACCAATCTAACTATCTTACCCTGTGAGAAACTGAGATGACCAATCTGTCTATCTTACCATGTGAGAAACTGAGATGACCAATCTAACTATCTTACCATGTGAGAAACTGAGATGACCAATCTGTTAATATTATCATGTGAGAAACAGCTGGTGAGAAACCGAGATGACGAATCTATCTATCTTACCATGTGAGAAACTGAGATGACCAATCTGTCTATCTTACCATGTGAGAAACTGAGATGACCAATCTAACTATCTTACCATGTGAGAAACTGATATGACCAATCTGTTAATCTTACCATGTGAGAAACTGAGATGACCAATCTATCTATCTTACAATGTAAGAAATTGAGATGACCAATCTATCTATCTTACTATGTGAGAAACTGAGATGACCAATCTATCTATCTTACTATGTGAGAAACTGAGATGACCAATATGTCTATCATACCATGTGAGAAACTGAGATGACCAATCTATCTATCTTACCCTGTGAGAAACTGAGATGAACAATCTGTCTATCTTACCATGTGAGAAACTGAGATGACCAATCTTACTATCTTACCATGTGAGAAACTGAGATGACCAATCTGTTAATATTACCATATGAGAAACAGCTGGTGAGAAACTGAGATGACCAATCTGTCTATCTTACCATGTGAGAAACTGAGATGACCAATCTATCTATCTTACCATGTGAGAAACTGAGATGACCAATCTATCTATCTTACCATGTGAGAAACTGAGATGACCAATCTATCTATCTTACCATGTGAGAAACTGAGATGACCAATCTGTTAATCTTACCATGTGAGAAACTGAGATGACCAATCTATCTATCTTACAATGTGAGAAACTGAGATGACCAATCTATCTACATGTATCATACCATGTGAGAAACTGAGATGACCAATCTATCTATCATACCATTTGAGAAACTGAGATGACCAATCTGTTAATATAACCATGTGAGAAACAGCTGGTGAGAAACCGAGATGACCAATATGTCTATCTTACCATGTGAGAAACTGAGATGACCAGTGTATCTATCTTACCATGTGAGAAACTGAGATGACCAATCTAACTATCTTACCATGTGAGAAACTGAGATGACCAATCTAACTATCTTACCATGTGAGAAACTGAGATGACCAGTGTATCTATCTTACCATGTGAGAAACTGAGATGACCAATCTAACTATCTTACCATGTGAGAAACTGAGATGACCAATCTAACTATCTTACCATGTGAGAAACTGAGATGACCAATCTGTTAATATTATCATGTGAGAAACAGCTGGTGAGAAACCGAGATGACCAATCTATCTATCTTACCATGTGAGAAACTGAGATGACCAATCTGTCTATCTTACCATGTGAGAAACTGAGATGACCAATCTAACTATCTTACCATGTGAGAAACTGAGATGACCAATCTGTTAATCTTACCATGTGAGAAACTGAGATGACCAATCTATCTATCTTACAATGTAAGAAATTGAGATGACCAATCTATCTATCTTACTATGTGAGAAACTGAGATGACCAATCTATTTATCTTACTATGTGAGAAACTGAGATGACCAATATGTCTATCATACCATGTGAGAAACTGAGATGACCAATCTAACTATCTTACCCTGTGAGAAACTGAGATGAACAATCTGTCTATCTTACCATGTGAGAAACTGAGATGACCAATCTAACTATCTTACCATGTGAGAAACTGAGATGACCAATCTGTTAATATTACCATATGAGAAACAGCTGGTGAGAAACTGAGATGACCAATCTGTCTATCTTACCATGTGAGAAACTGAGATGACCAATCTATCTATCTTACCATGTGAGAAACTGAGATGACCAATCTATCTATCTTACCATGTGAGAAACTGAGATGACCAATCTATCTATCTTACCATGTGAGAAACTGAGATGACCAATCTGTTAATCTTACCATGTGAGAAACTGAGATGACCAATCTATCTATCTTACTATGTGAGAAACTGAGATGACCAATCTATCTATCATACCATGTGAGAAACTGAGATGACCAATCTATCTATCATACCATTTGAGAAACTGAGATGACCAATCTGTTAATATAACCATGTGAGAAACAGCTGGTGAGAAACCGAGATGACCAATATGTCTATCTTACCATGTGAGAAACTGAGATGACCAATCTGTCTATCTTACCATGTGAGAAACTGAGATGACCAATCTAACTATCTTACCATGTGAGAAACTGAGATGACCAGTGTATCTATCTTACCATGTGAGAAACTGAGATGACCAATCTATCTATCTTACCATGTGAGAAACTGAGATGACCAGTACACAACATGCCAGAGAGCAGGTAAAACATTATCTGGTACATGACTCAGAGGTTTTTGACATGGAGAAGATTCTGCACTATATTTCTGTGAAGGGTTTTGTCCTGGTGTTGTTGTTGCATTTGTGGTATTAGTGGTATTAGATGGGCTTGGGGTTGTTACTGGAGGTTGGTTGTCTTGAAGGCATTGTCTGTAAAATGTCTGAAATAATGTAAAGTTATATTAATTTATTACAAGGGCTCTCTAAAATCTGAATGATTTAAAATTACATACTTTATTCACTCATTTATATTGGTAGATATGAGCTATTCTGTGGAACACAGGTACAACATGGCTATTTTCTAATAAGGAAAAATGTGCAGTACTGAATTAAGGTCATTGGATGCAAAAAGCATCAAGTGTGTAAGCTGTGTTTCAACTTTCAACAGTGATTGATTTCCCATATGGACAAATATCAAAATTCTAAAACTGTCAGCAAAAACAACTTTTAAGGTATAACATCTTCAACAGAGGAGTTCTTGGGAAATCATAGTATGTCTTGATTCATGTCTCAATAAATAATAATTTTTTCCATCTTGCAGAATATTAATTCTGTCACAAATTTGCACTTTGGGGCATAGGTAGCCAAGTGGTCTAAGTAGTCGAACTATTGTATCACTAGCCTGTCAAAAATGAGGTTGTGAGTTCGAATCCGGCTTGTGGCAGATGCTTTTGACTCCAATCTTAATGGACTAGGATTGTCAGTTTTCCTACTGAAGGAGGTGGTTCTCTACAGGTACTCCAGCTTCCTCCACCAATAAAAACTGATTATCACGAAATAGTGCAATAGTGCTGAAAGTGGTGTTAAACACCAATCAATCAAAATAAAATTTGAAAAGTAGATATATTTTTTAGGTGCACAAGTACGGTACAAAATGTAGTGTACATGCCAAGTTAAAAAATGCTTTCTTTCAAAGCACTTACATAAATGTACATAGATTATAAAACTATTCTCGGTCATCAACAATTGAAGATAAATACACACATTTGTAATTTTGTACATACAATAAGTATACACCTGATTGCAATTAATTTGTACCTAAAGTGACAGAAATACTTACTGATGAAACATCCAATGGTAAAACAAACACTATCAAGAAGGAGAAGTACCATGCAACAAATGTTGCTAATGTTGTCAATGCATGATTTTTCCTTAGGTCACCATAGCGATGTAATAAAAATGCAGCTAAACAACATGTACATATAATTTCAACAACAAGGGGACCTGCACTCATTCTATCATAATGGAATCTTCAACTGAAAATATACATCAATTATTTGTCATCTTTGTATATTTTAAAATGAATACATCATTATTCCACAGATACATGAAATATATTTAGTCAAAGCTCAACCTGGCTTTTAAATAAAATCTCCCTTGGCAATTTTCAATGAAGTTCCTGTTTCTTGTTTGTTATTTTGAAGTGCAATTTAAACTTTTCAGTAATAATAAGATAGTATGGCTAATTACGATTATGCATATTTTTTTCACTTATAGCTTGAATGTATGAGAAATTTTGATTCACATTAGAGAATTATTAAATGCAGTGCTTCATACATGTCATATGCAAAGGCAGCAACATATATCTGAAATATAACATTTAAGCATTTATAAAATAGTTCAAACTCATTTTTGTCTGAGTTGACCAATTGACAGTCAAAGTTGTCTTACAAGTCTGTATGATTTGACTAGGTCAGAGTTGTCCCATATTTGGATGGATGGATGTTTAAATTTCAGTGGCAAATTAAATGCATATTCAGGAGAACATCTTAGTGCAATATGAATATGAACCCTGCTTGGTACTAGACCAACACACTGAGCAGGATTTGTAACGTGCTTGTTCCCAGGGTTACAATCCGCAGGAAGACATGTCACTGTTCCTGGACACATTATTCTGTTTCCAAGCAGATCAGTCTTTGCTCTTACTCCTTAATGCTGAGTGCTTAGCAAAGAAGCAAGCAAATACCAATTTTACAGTCTTTGGTTTGACTAGGCTGGCGTTCAAACCCACAACCTCCTGCACTCTAAGCAAAACTGGCTACCATGAGACCACCTAGGCAGTTTCGCATCTTTGGGTTTCAGGGGATATAGACACTGTCACACAGTGTAATAGCAGAGACATTAACGTCAAGTACAGTAAAACCTGTATTAAGCAGTCACTCATGGGAAGTATCAAAAGAGGTGACCTATTAAAAAAGGTTCTGAAAAATTCTGAACCCCACATCACCAGTGATTGCACTAGTGTTTTCAATCGGTAGAGTTATTGTTCTTGTGAGCAGTGTAATAAAAAATTGTGGGTTCCTGTGCTGTAAATTAGAGAAAACATTCAAAAAAGGGTCCAACGACTTACAGAAAAGAACAGAAAAGGACTGAAAAAGACCAAAAAGAACAGAAAAAAGAAATTGATATTTTTTTTAAGCGCAGGAGACTAGCAAATTGAAAAATCATTAAAGTCTATAAATGAAAAGATTGTTTCTACAAAAGTTTCTTATTAGATTTTAAAACCTCATACTGTGACAGGATCAAAACAGCATAATTTGAAGTAAAATTTTAATCCTGTCGTTGCCCATTGTTTTGTCAATTCTGATGACATTCCTTTGCTGACACAGCCACTGTGCACCCATTTTTTACAACCAAAGCAGAGGACGGAATCTGTACATTCACAATATTAACTACAGATATAGCAAGGGTATTGATTTCGATAACGAGATTTACAATTATGTGCTTTTACCATTTTTATAATTTTGAAAACAAGTGAAAAAACAAGTTTTTTTTTATTAATCTTAAGGTGACAATTATAATGATTACTGTAAATCACATGTCACTGTGGCACCTTAACAAATTTATTTGACATTTAGCATCCAAGAGGATATGGTGATGCTGACTTGTATATGTTTAATATTACCATACCCAATGCCGTGGTGCAATATCCTGACATCTTTATATAAACAAACTAAAAACTTTTTTTTAAATGTTAGGATAAACATTAATAATACGATAGTATTTGCTTTTCATTTATTTTTGTTGATATAATTAAGTCTGTTTACAGCAAAATCTATCAAGATATTACTATTTAAAAAATATAATGTGCATATGAACATGATGAACAAAAATATTAATAAGAAGATTAAACTCTTTGATAAAAAATATAAATGATAAGTTATCATACATATATAAAAAAAAATATTACTAAAAACCAAATTATACTGTTTCCTTTTTTTTTGTGTCCACATATTCTTATAAAGTGCACAATCATAGTTTGAATTATGCATTTATTTATACACCTTATCGCTATTTTCCATCATTACTGGACATCACAAAGGTTCCCGTAAAATTTTGACGTCATAATAGAAAATATCTGAAGCCACAATGGAAAAGTGATTGTTGTATGACATCAATAGTTCAAGTGGCGCAGATTCTCGGGTCAACCGGTGCAGATTTCCAAATAGCGATAAGGTGTATTATGAGGAATTGTTAACAGTATCACAATTTCATGTATATATATGTATAAAATAAATGGTGTACAAATTTTTTAACCTCATGTTTGCGGTATACCATCTTTTCCGCAAGTTTATTGTTTTCTGTTTGGTATTAAATTAATAATTAGATCCATTTTGTTACATCTGGTGGTCTGTTTATTTGGCAATCGCAATGGCAGTCAGCAAGTTTATTGTTTTCTGTTTGGTATTAAATTAATAATTAAGATCTATTTTGTTACATCAGGTAATCTGTTTATTTGGCAATCGCCATGGCAGTCAGCAGGGTTTAAGAACATCCCTTGTTCGACCTGCTAGTCAAATGCGTTTTGTTCAAATATACTTTTTCACTTTTTTGGTCTTTTGGAAAATGTTGTTTGTGCTGTATTTCATTGTATTTAGACCCCTCTACCAAGAAATTTTTTTTGCATGCACACGTATAAAAATTGCGGTGTTTATCAAATGCAATCATAGGTTTGCACGTTGTTTTCAATTTAGACTTGTGTATAAAATAAATATATGTATGCTCTTTTCGGCTCCTTTTCTGTTCATTTCTGTAAATCGTCGCTCTTTTCTGCAAATCGTTGGACAGTTCAAAAATATGTTATATTTATGGAGATAAAGTTTTCAATGGCAACCGAAAGGAGTAGTGGAACATAAGGAATTCACGATTACACCCAATATCGGTTGCAAACAGGTTCCTATTTTGTATGACCATTGTAGAAAGTTGAAATGACGATTTCATTCAACAATATACTTTGCAGGTGACTGATGAACAGGTTAGACAGGTGACTGCTGAAAGAGTTATGAACAGAGAAAACGTTGGGGAGGGTCTGAAAATGACTGTTAGAGGCAGGAGAAACTAGGTGACATTAAGACTGTACTGTATAATAGTATCTTGTAAATTGGAAAGAGTAGTCTCATTGCAGTCATGCAGATGACATGATTTTATTTCATATTTGGCAATATTCGCAACTCAAATCAGTTGATAGAAATTTCCGACACTTGGTGTGTGGCATGTACATTTTGTTACAGAAAGTGAAAATAATAACCTGTGAAACAAATCGCTGTTAATGCATTTTCGAGTAAAACAGAAAAAACTGATCAATTAATTGCTGTCAGCATCATCTGACGTCACCAATCGATTTACAGAGAAAATTCTAACAAGGAAATCAAAGTCCGCGTTAATTACATCGTAATCCGGATCATTACTGTGAAAATATATTAAATCAATCTTCCTCGACAAAATTGTGAAGATATACTTATCAATAAATTATTACACGAAAAAGTAATCAGTAGATAGCTTTGTTATTGTATTTTTACGAACAAACGCAAAAGTATAATGCGTAAAATATATCGTTTTTATTCGGTATCGGGTCCGTTCGCGCCCAATACACGTTCGCACCCTACACGTTCGCAACCCACACGTTCGCCCCCTGGGTCCGTTCGCACCCTTTTTTTTTTTATTCAAAAACCTGATGAATTATAAGATGTTTATCTCAAAATAAAGAAAAATTCGGCAATTTTTTAATTTTTTAAATGAAATATTGTTTTAAATTATTTTGATGATTAATTATTATATGTTAATTATGTATGATTACTGTTAATATATGGTGTTTACACAGCTAAACTTGATGTAAATTCTGCATGTAGTTAGCATGTATTTAGCTTGGTAAAAACTATGAGTAAAAACAATTAGGATTCAAAATGTTATTGTTGTTGAGTTTAATAGCGGTTTGGTATCTTAACATTCAAATAATATTCAACACAAAAAACCTTTTTATAAAGTCACTTTATTTTGAAACAATCGATTCAACACAAAAAAGTCACTTTATTTTGCATGTTTTGAAACAATGAAAAAAAAAACTTATTTATAGCAATACAATAACCAAAACACGATTAAAAAATTATTCAACACAAACATCGTTTTTAGAAAGTCACTTCATTTTAAAACAATGAAAAAAAAAAATATTTATAGCAATACACTAACCAAAATACGATTGAAAAATTATTTAACACAAAATCAATAAAAAGGGTGCGAACGTGTAGGGTGCGAACGTGAAAGGGGGCGAACGTGAATGGGCGCGAACGGACCCGGATTCTTTTTATTCCCGTTAAGTTTTTAAGATCGATAATTACTATTCAAGTTCCGACTTCCGGTATTTTCTCGAACTGAAATTTGAAGTAAACACTTGAAATGTTTGGATTCTGTAAATGAAGTCTGTGTTTATCAAAATTCGACAAAAATGATTGTTGTCAGTAAATCCACCATACACGGACTATTGAATTTTGTAAGCATCATAAATCAGACATGCCCTTAAACAAGTAAAATGTAAAAATGAGTAACCAAAACGTGTTACAACTCGATTTTTATACGACCGCAAAAAAAATTTGCGGTCGTATATTGGTATGACGTTGGCGTCGTCGTCGTCGTTGTCGTCGTCCGTCGTCGTCGTCGTCCTCGTCCGAAGACACATTGGTTTACGCACTCTAACTTTAGTTTAAGTGAATGGATCTCTTTGAAATTTTACCATAAGGTTCAATACCACAAAAGGAAGGTGGGGATTGATTTTGGGGGTTATGGTACCAACAGTTAAGGAATTAGGGACCAAAAAAGGGCCTAAAATAAGCATTTTCTAGTTTCCAGACAATAACTGTGGAACGGTGTATGGATCTCTCTGAAATTATACTACAAGTTTCCATACCACAAAGGGATGGTTAGGATTTGCTTTGGGGGGGTTCAAACCGTTTAGGAATTAGGGGGAAAAACAAGGTTATCCTGGTTAATGGACAAATACTTTAGTACAAAACATAATTTAAAGCAGTGTAAGGGAGATAAATCAAATACATCATTGAAATTATCTCCCTTACACTGCTTTTAAATTATGTATAAAGTAATGGTTAATGAACAATTAAGATAATTTAATACAGTGTAAGGGAGGTAATCCAAATACAACATTTTGGTTACTTCCCTTATACTGCTTTTAAATTATGTTTAAAGAAATGCATATTTTATAAAGGAAGACCAGTAAAAATATCTGCAAATGTTTCATTTTTTTTTTTTTACAAAAAAATCCATATGAAAGATTTGACACTATATTTTAAATTCTATTATAAAATAGATTAAGTTAGCACTTTGGTAAATTTAAATGGGTAATTATGGTTGCAAACTCCTTTGGAAATTTGAATTGAGATTATGACCATATCTTGAGGGAAAGAATTTTTTGGGGAAAAAAGGGGGGGGTAAAAAGAAATTGGGGGGGGGGGGGGGTCAATTTTTTCTCATTTCAGATTTCAGAAATTAAAAAGAATTATTCTTCAAATATTATTTTTTTTTCAAATTTCAAATATTGAAAAATTTCAAGAAGTAATCTTTAATTGCACAGTATGGAGCATTAGATTTGTAAAATCTTTGACCACATTTATTTATTTGTTATGCCGAATCTAACCGTGTATTTAGATTTTTAATTTTGGGTCCAGTTTTCAAATTGGTCTACATTAAGGTCCAAAGGGTCCAAAATTAAACTTTGTTTGATTTTAACAAAAATTGAATATATGGGGTTCTTTGATATGCTGAATCTAAACATGTTTTTAGATTTTTGATTTTTGGCCCAGTTTTCAAGTTGGTCCAAATTGGGGTCCAAAATTAAACTTTGTTTGATTTCAACAAAAATTGAATATATGGGGTTCTTTGATATGCTGAATCTAACCATGTATTTTGATTTTGGACATTGGACCATAATAGGTAAATTAAAAAAAATCAAGTTCTTAGACCACATTCTTTCTGTGTCAGAAACCTATGCTGTGTCAAATATTTAATCACAATCCAAATTCAGAGCTGTATCAAGTTTGAATGTTGTGTCCATACTTGCCCCAACTGTTCAGGGTTCGACCTCTGGGGTCGTATCAAGCTGCGCCCAGAGAAGCATTTTATTGAGATTCATTTTACGAATTTCATTTAGTTGTTAAGATTTATATACATTATACAAACTTAATTTGATGCAGGTGTTACTCCTTAAAGAGGACAAAGTCTGTATATATGTAGGACTCGGAGGTGCGATGGGGACACTGAAGTGTGATGGTCACACTAAACTGCGATGGTTTATATAATTTACGTGTCATGGCTAGATTAAAATCTACAGATGTTTAATTATTATAAGAAGTAGACTTTTTAATTAGTTACAATATAAATTTGCACTCATTATTGTCTATGTATGTCATTAGTTACAGTTGTATACTAAATGAGAGAAATACGGGTCCGTTTGCTCCCATTCACGTTCGCACCCCTGTCCATCCGTCCCTCCCTCCGGTCTTATTAGCGATCTCACAGGTACAATTCTTGCCAGATTTTTATAAAACTTATACTATAGGTAAATATCAGCAAAATATAAGTTCTTTAATGGTGGCCAATCGACTTTTTTTAAAATAGTTATGCCCCTTGGAAATATTAAATTTATGGAAAATGGCCTCGTTTGCGCTCTCTCGGGTACAATTCTTGCCAGATTTTTATAAAACTTATACTATAGGATAATATCAGCAATATCTCGGACAAGTTCTATTATGGTGGCCAATCGACTTTTTTTTTAAAGAGTTATGCCCCTTTGGAAATATTAAATTTATGGAAAATGGCCTCGTTTGCGCTCTCTCGGGTACAATTCTTGCCAGATTTTTATAAAACTTATACTTTAGGTTAATATCAACAATATCTCGGACAAGTTCTATAATGGTGGCCGATCATCTGTTTTTAAAAGAGTTATGCCCCTTGGAAATATAAAATATGTGCAACGCGGGGGACATTGGAACGGTTCTTTTATTTTCATGGTTTCAAAATAAAGTGATGTTTTTTGTGTTGAATATTTTTTTAATCGTGTTTTGGTTAGTGTATTGCTATGATTTTATTTTTTTTCATTGTTTCAAAATAAAGCGACTTTCTAAAAAGGTTTTTTGTGTTGAATATTTTTTTAATGTTAAGATACCAAACCGCTATTAAATGATTAAACTCAACAGCTATAACATTTTGAATCTTCATTGTTTTCACTCATACCAAGCTAAATACATGCTAACTACATGCAGAATTTACATCAAAGCTAGTAAAAACAACAATCACGATTTTCAAACACATTACAATAACACCAAGTTTAGTTGTGTAAACACCATATTAACAGTAATCATACATAATTAACATGTAATAATTAATCATAAAATCAATTTAACACAATATTTCATTTAAAAAATTCCAGAATTTTTATTTATGAAAATAAAAATATTTTGATATAAACATCTAAAACACATCTAATAATTCATCAGATTTTTGAATTAAAAAAAGGGTGCGAAGGTGTAGGGTGTGAACCGACCATGGGGCGAATGTGTATAGGGCGTGAACGGACCCGATACCAAATGAGAGATGGTCTTCTTTGATTTTCTGCATGTAAACATAAATATAGTCATAGTCAGCGTTATCATTTGTGTACTTGTTTCCTCTCATGAGTTCCTCGTTTACCGTGAAATTATGATACAGAGAGTCTATCTGCGGAACACTTTCCAAATTTATTTCTTTATATTTTATGCATGAAATATTAAGTAAGGGGATGAGATTACATGTTAAAAGATTTAGGTGCTGAATCTTTATGTTAAGTAGTGATTTAATTTGGTCCAGTTAAAAAAGGTCAAAATTAGTATGTCTGAAGCTGTCAAACTGAATTCTAGACCCCCTTATCATAGAATTGTTAATAGTTTGAGTTAGAGCCAGTAGACTATTCTATAATTTTGATATTATTTGTCCTAATAGTAGTACACTACACTGTAAAAAAAATTTTGAGATAGAGCAGGTGCGATTTTTTTAATTTGAATTTATTGTCTAAAAGAAATGCACTATGAAATAACTGTGTTCTCGGGCCAGCATGAATTTAGAGAACATGCTCCATCATACCAAAAAAAAAACTTTTGTTGATTTCGAAAAAAATCCGCTACAGAAGGTTAACTTTCCCCTCTCCACCAATCACTCCTCGCTTCCTGTAGTATTAAAAGTGTATTAGCCCCTAATTAACTCAAAAACATGAAAATCTGCTTCTACCTTTGAACAAACAAATGAACTTCTACATCGACATGGAAAGCATTGAAAATAAAGTTTATTTAGTCCAT